GCAGAGCAGACGACAAGCCTCGGATATGGTGTGATTTCCGCAACAAACCCCGCCAACTGGAAGAGCAGCAAGCCTGGAGACCAATCTGCTCATGCAAATGAGGCTGATGCTGGTCCCTTCAGTAAAGAGCAGATGGATCATCTTCTGAAGCTGCTAAAATCCAATCCAGAGTCTGGTATTCCTTATGTTTCTCTGGCTCAAACAGGTTGCAACTCTAGTGCTTTCTTTTGTCATTCTAGTCCTACACTTTGGATCATTGATTCGGATGCTTCTGATCACTTGACAAATCTTTCTCATATATTTCATTCTTATTTGCCTTGTTCTGATAATAAAAAAAAAGTTAGAATTGCATATGGAAAATTTTCATCTATTGCAGGAAAAGGCTTTATCAAAATTTCTGAAAAAATCACCCTAAAATATTTCCTTCATGTCCCTAGTCTTGCCTATAATCTCTTATCTGTGAGTCAACTCTTTAAAGATTCTAATTGTCGTGTTACCTTTTTTAACTCTCACTGTGATTTTCAGGACCTGAGCACGGGGATGATGATTGGCAGTGCTAGAATGGTGGACGGTCTTTACTATTTTGATGACAACTTCCTCCGTAATAAACAAGCTCAAGGCTTTGGTACTAGTATTAGTTCTCTCTCTGTCTGTGAACAAATAATGATTTGGCATCTTAGACTAGGACATCCTAGTTTTTCTTATTTGAAGTATCTACTTCCTCTTATATTTGAAAATGTGGATTGTTCAGCTTTTCAATGTGAAAGTTGTCATTTATCAAAGAGCCATCGTACTATGTACAGTTTAAAACCATATTGTGCCTCAAAACCATTTTACTTAATTCATAGTGACGTTTGGGGTCCTTCGAAAAGTACATCTTCTGGAAAAAAAATTGGTTTGTAACTTTCATAGATGATCACACTCAGCTATGTTGGGTATATTTGATGAATGATAAATCTGAAGTTGAAAATTTGTTCAAAAATTTTTATAATATGGTTGAAAACCAATTTCAAACAAAAATAAGAGTACTTCATTCTGATAATGGAACTGAGTATTTCAATCAATTTTTGGGAAATTTTTTAAAGGAAAAGGGGATTCAACATCAATCTACTTGTAGTGATACTCCTCAACAAAATGGTTTTGCCGAAATAAAAAACAGACATTTACTTGAAGTTGCACGTGCCATTATGTTCTTAATGCATGTACCAAAATATCTATAGGGAGATGCTATTTTGACAGCATATTATTTTATAAATAGAATGCCTACTCGTATTTTAAAATATATTACACCTTTAGAGTGTTTCAAAAACTTCTTCCCTGAATGTCGACTTTTCTCTGACTTACCCTTGAAAATTTTTGGGTGCACTGTGTTTGTTCACATACCTAGTAGGCTTCGATCCAAACTTGATCCTAGGGCAGAAAAATGTGTGTTTATTGGTTATGCGCCAAATAAAAGGGGATACAAGTGTTATAATTCTAAAACAAAAAACACTTTTGTGAGTATGGATGTATCGTTTGTGGAAAGTCGGCCTTACTTTGGACAAAACTGTCTACAGAGGGAGATAGTGAATAATGAAGCTCAGTTTTGGAAAACAGTTGTTCCTCTGCCTAATACCTTGGCTGTTCCTCTGCCTGATACCTTCTTTCCCGTACCTGTTCTTGATCCTTCCACCTTTAATAATCAAGACTCAGTGCTCCGTGTTTACACTAGAAGGAGTACTCATCAAAAAAAATAAAGACTTGCCTACAACTCTAGCACAAGACCAACCACTGTCGCCGAGCGATGGTCCGTCTACTACTCTAGGCAACTCTAATCCTTCTTTGTCAAATTCCACTCCTACTGCTTACCTACAGCACTTAGAAAGGGAGTCTAAACCTGTATAGAACATCCTATTGCTAAATATGTGTCTTACCATAGGCTTTCTAAGTCTCATAAAGCTTTTACCTCAAAAATCTCCCAACTGTTTATCCCGAGAACCATTCAGGAAGCTTTAGATAATCTGGATTGGAAATTAGCAGTTTTGGAAGAGATGAATGCTCCAAAAAAGAATGGGACTTGGGAGATAGTTAACTTACCCAGGGAGAAGAAAACGGTAGGATGCAAATGGGTGTTTACAGTTAAGTGTAGAGCTGATGGAAGTATAGAAAGGTACAAGGCACGTTTAGTGGTAAAAGGATTTACACAGACACACGGTATTGATTACCAGGAGACTTTTGCTCCAGTCGCAAAGATAAATTCAATCCGTGTCTTAATATCCTTAGCAGTTAGTCTTGACTGGCCATTACACCAGCTAGATGTAAAAAACGCATTCTTAAACGGGGTTTGAAAGAGGAAGTCTTTATGAGCCTACCACCGGGGTTTGAAGAACGTCTTGGTGAAGGGGAAGTGCGTAGACTAAGAAAATCCTGTATGGCCTCGAACGATCTCCCAGAGCATGGTTTGAGCGATTTGGGAAAGCTGTAAAGGGCTACGGATATACACAAAGTCAGGCAGATCACACTACGTTTTATAAGCACTCAAAAGAAGGAAAGATGTTATTTTGATTGTTTATGTTGATGATATAATATTAACAAGTGATGATCATGTTGAGCTCAAAAAACTCAAGAGAGTTCTTGCTGATGACTTTGAGATCAAGGACTTGGGAGCCTTAAAGTATTTTCTTGGAATGGAGTTTGCCAAGTCTAAAAAGGGCATCTTCATGTCTTAACGAAAATATGTACTGGATCTTCTTGGAGAGACAGGTCTACTTGGTTGCAAGGCAGCAGAGACACGAATTGAACCTAATTTGAAGCTCCAATCTGCTAAACCAAAAGATGTGAAGAACCGAGAGCAATTTCAGAGGCTGATTGGTAGACTGATTTATCTGTCGCATACTCGCCCAGATATAGCTTTTGCGGTGAGCGTGATAAGTCAATTTATGCACTCAGCAGGTCCAGAACACTTCGAGGTTGTGTACAGAATCCTAAGGTACTTGAAGGGATCACCAAGGAAGGGCCTGCTGTTTGAAAAGCACGGTCACTTACAAATTGAAGTATATACAGATACAGACTGGGCTGGGAGTATAACCGATAAAAGGTCAACCTCTGGCTATTGTACTTTTGTTGGAGGAAACCTTGTTACTTGGCGTAGTAAAAAGCAAAATATGGCGTCAAGAAGCAATGCTGAAGCCGAATTTAGATCAGTTGCCCACAGAATTTGTGAGGTGTTGCAGGTTAAGAGAATCTTAGACGAACTGAAGGTCTCAAGTCCCTCTCCGATAAAGGCATACTGTGATAACAAAGCAACAATCTCAATAGCACATAATCTTGTTCTTCATGACAGAACCAAGCATGTTGAGGTAGACAAGCACTTCATCAAGGAGAAAATAAAGTACGAGCAGATTTGTATGACCTATATACCAACTGATGAACAAATTACAGATGTTCTTACAAAGGGTCTGTCCAAGAAAGAATTTGAGAAATTGACGGGCAAGCTGGCTATGGAAGATATCTTCAAACCAGCTTAAGGGGGAGTGTTGGAAAGGAGAATATTCAGCTGAGATTTATTGCTGATCTCTAGGGATTGCCTAGCTATATTTTATGTTTAAATATAAGCCTAGTCAACTTTGTAAATAAGGAAAATTAGTTGTATGGTTATTATGTTCCTTTTTTAATGCCTTGTATAGCCTATAAGTAGTGTACGTGTATATCATTCTTAGTATCAATGAAATACCATTTCACTAAAACAATTCTCTCCTAATTCCTTGTTGTTTAGATAAAGACCTCGGATTATTAAGATACTTTATTGGCATCGGGGTGTGCAGATCGAAGAAAGGGTATTCATTTCTCAATGGTAGTATGTGTTAGATTTGTTGACTGAAACAGACAGGCTTGGAGCTACACCTATTGATATTCCCATTGAGCAGAACCATAGGATTAATGATGTAGATGGAGACCAATTAGATGGTGTGGGAAGATTTCAGCGATTGGCTGGGAAATTGATTTATCTAATCTCTCACGCACCCGAATATTGCCTATGTTGTTAGTGTGATTAGTCAATTTATACATGCTCTACATACACCTTGAGGCAGCTCATCATGTTCTTCGCCACCTCAAGGGTTCACCTGGTAAGGGGATATTATTTGGCCATCATGGCCACTTGCATGTTGAAGCCTATAGTGATGCCGATTGGGCAGGGTCTATGACAGGTCAACGATCTACTTCAAGAAGATATTGTACATTTGTTAGAGGTAATCTTACTTTATGGCGAAGAAAGAAACAGTTTGTAGTAGCTAAATCTAGTGCAGAGGCTGAGTTCAGATCCATGGCACATGGAGTTTGTGAGTTGTTATAGCTATGAACGATATTGGGTGAGTTGGGTTATCCTGTTCGCGAATCAACGAAGTTGTATTGTGACAATATGGCTACTATTAGCATTGCCCACAATCCAGTTCAACATAACAAGACAAAGCACATTGAAGTCGATCGACACTTCATCAAGGAAAAGCTTCGTCTTGGGCTGCTTTGTACTCCATACGTGATACGTCAACACACATAATCAGTTTGTTGATGTTTTAACTAAGGGTGTGAGTAGGACTTGCTTGCAAAATATATTAGTCAAGCTGGGCATGATAAATATCTTTGCACCAGCTTGAAGGGGAGTGTTGTCAGGGGCTTATTTGTTAGTACTTATATAATATTGGGGCTAATGTGTAATTTCTGAAGCTTGTTCGTATAAATAGAATGCGGTGGAAGGATGAAAGTATTCTTTCTCTCTTTCCCCATCCCTCTCTCTTTTTCTCTCATCCTATTTCTTCTCTTTTTCTTCTTCTTCTTATACTTTACTCTTGATTTGATTATATCTTGAAGTTAACAAGACTTTAGGTCCAACATCAACCTCTTTCACACATAAACAACTCACCTCCAAAATAACAGCATCAAAAACGATAATAATAGTTGAACTAGTCAACAAATGATTTTAAAGATAATAAGAAACAACAATAAACGATTGAATAAAGTACCTAAGAAGATGATGGCTCCATAATCAAGCCTATGCCTTATACAACGGCCTACAAGACAGAAGGCATCAAGTATCATAGTTTAATATATCAACAGAGTTAAAAAAGTGTAACTAACGCTACAAATAATAGTAAATCATTTAGAGACTCTGACCAAAAAAATTAATAAGATCATTGTATGTACTATTACAAGTGAGAAGGAAGAAAAGAAGAGAAGTTTTTGCAATTTTTCCACAGAACAAATAAAGTAGGGGATGGAAAAAAGATATGTATGTCATTATAATTTCAGTATCACCAGTTGTTAGCTTAAGTACTATCTCCAATGAATCCCTACGGATGAGATGCAAGGTCAAGGCCTGGTTGCAATGGTCGTGTGATTTTTATTAAATAGGAATATAAAATATCTTTACAACCCCTTTATTCCTTCTTGCTCCTTCCTAATGTTGTATCCTATTCCCAGATCATATCAACAAATAAATAGGTTTCATATATTATTTTCTAAACACCTCTTGGTCTTCATATTGTCCTAGTAATGCCTTTGATTGTTACTTTAAAAGAAATAGTTTTTAATGGTGTCGCCATGGATCTCCGTCGCGCGTTACTAAATATCTTTAGAAAACTGATGTTATCAAGATCAATATATTATTTTGGGTGCAATGGAAGATCCATTGGATTTAAACAAATATATAAAAAAATAAAATTTTTAATTTGTTGCAATTTGGTTTATTAAGCCCAAGGGATGTTTTGAAAATTTCAGGTAAGTCTAGAATTGGGAGGTGGCTTCGGGTCAAGTTGTAATTCCAGTTTGAAGTAGAATTTCCCGAGTCCCACAAGTTTACCGGTGGGACTCAAAATTCACACTCGAATTTTGAGTAACAGCTGTTTCATTTAAAAAATGGCCGGCTCCGCCTCAATCTGGCCAGTACCAAAAGGCCCAGGTGATGGTTTATGCAAAGTGATATTCCTTTTGCACAATTTAAGTGTTGGGCGGGGATCGAACCCCAGATCACCTGTTTTACAAGTGGGCACTGTTCCACTGAATAATCATTGACTTTTCATATATATATATATAAGCAGTACTTTTATTTATTTAAACAAGAAATCTTAGGTTAACAAACTCTCTTCCTCCAATATGGGCTACCAAGAACTGAACCTAAATGACCACTTGTTCATTCAAAAAGTACTTTTCCACCCAACCAAGAATGATTATTTGTTTACAAAGGTGCTAGTTTTTTTATTTAATCAAGAAAAACTCTTTATTTTATTAGAGAGAGATCATAATAAAACTGATCATAAAATAGCACGTAAGCAAATTTATCTATATATAATATATTTTATATGTAGACAAAACTAAAGACCTCTTATTCATGTGTAGAGACCCACTTGTAGGAACATTGTTGATGAATATACATACGCAGGGACAAAGAGCCCTATAACTTGAGATTTGAGTAAATCTCAAACACACTCCGCTGAGATGAATGAAGAAGCTCCAAGCTTGAATCTACAATTCCTACTCAAAGCTCTACTCCAATGGATTCCTTGCCTTCAAGAATCTCTCCTATGACCCCATTGATAAACTTTTCTCAAGCTTGTTGGTGGGAACAAAGATAGGCAAGAACCCTAGAATTGGTAGAGATGATACATATATATATATATATGAGGCTATATGTATAGTAGGGCACAAGGTTAGAGAATGTCTCACTTAGCATTCCTTTTATAATGCTTACTAGATGTGAAAATCTCTCTCTACAACCACTTAGGGGTGCTCATATCAATCTCTTCAGGTAGGAGAGAAGATCTTCTGGGCTCACTTTCCTCATGGCTCCAATGAACTAATAATTTGGCCCAACCAATCTCCATAGACCCAAATCAATTAGCCAATAATTAATTCTAACTACAATATATAGAATTAATTGCTCTCATTTTAGAAAGTGATTATCCACTAAGTTAATTTGTTTTATCACCCCTCTGTGCTTTATTAGCTATCGGATAATTATAAGTTAACAATCCAACCACTTAATTAATCCATTTATTTCGACTCCTTGATTATTTCACATTTAATCACGTAAAGCATTTATTTGAGAACATAATATATTTAATCTATAAATATATATATAAACCATTTTATCAAAACTCGCGGAGGTCCCTAAATTTCCCATGATCAAATTAATCAAGTCAAAATAAATGCAATAGCGTTGATGCAACTCTTGAGAGTATATTCCCAAGCTATTAATTAATAATTACCCAAAGCACCTGACCTATAGGCCCCACCTAAGGGTGGCAAATTACAACACGACCCGCCAATACTACTCGAACACAACACGAGATAAGCAGGTTTGGGTTGACCTTAAATGGGTTTGGGTCATAAACGGATTAACATGATTAACCCATTTACTTAACCGTGTCGGGTTAAGTTGAAGAGTTCAACACGTGTAACCCATTTATACCCGTTTAACTCAACATGTCATAATCGTGAATATGACCTATGTATTATGTTATATATTTAAACCCAATTACTATGGACAGTTAAGTCATTTCAACATTAACCTTAACTACGCTTTATGATTTTTCTTCTTATTTTGAATATTTAGGTTAATTGTGACAATTTTCCTAGTATTTATTATTTGATTGAATATTAAATTTCTCGTTTTGATAAACAAGTCATTACCCGTTTAATAAACAGGTCGGGTTCGTGTTAAGGGTTCCTGACACGATTATTAAATGGGTCGGGTTTGGGTTTACTTATTTAGTAGAATACCCTTATATCGACACGACACGACTATAACCCACAAACACAAATTGTCACCCCTAGCCCCACCGAATAAATTAAAGCAATTACCAATCAATACAAGAGTTTATACCTTTCTCATGCTTCAAAGTCATTCGCCATAACGATGATAAGGGGCAAATTGTTACAACGGCTCTCACAAATCACAATTTGCTTACATTATCCTAGATCCGGTTCATCTCTTAATTAATAAAGATTCCGTCCTTTTTTACTAACCATGAACCATTTATGATAACACAATTGCCGCATTTTAGATTTACCGTATATAAACCCCTTCATATACATATAAATTACTTGCGTAGTCAAATGGACAACCGAATCGACGAATACACATTATTTGCCAATTACATACAAAGCTACAAATTCATCAACGGGACAAAATGTCAACCACAATCCATTAAATTTGTGATGGTAGGGCATACAAAACCAACACCAAAGAACCCAAAAAAAATCAACTATCACACCAAAGAACCCAAAAAATCAACTCTCTCCTCTATATATTTACAATTTCTATGATTTGATTATCACATATCATATATGATATCTGTTAGTAGATATGATAGCCACGATTTATGGAATGACTTACCGTATTAGCAAAAAATTGATTATGCTATAGAATATGCCATAGAATATGCTATAGAATATGTTGTGATGTGATTTAGATTTGATTTAATTTCCTTTCTTGTAATATAAGCATGTGCTCTTTTTATCTATAAATACTAGAGTTGTGAATGAGTGATTATCTCATTCTAACCTTTACACAATTCTCTCCTTTTTCTTCTATATTATATTTCTACTTGGTATCAATGCCAGGGTGGTCCAACTGCAATGAGGGCATTGCGAGTTCTGCACCACCCATTCGGGAATGGTCTAAGGTGACATCGCCCATCCGGGAGATGTCGGGTAGGCAAGGTGGTCCAACCTTAATGAGGGCGTTGCGAGTTTGGCACCACCCATTCAAAAATGGTATGAGGAGAGGTAGTTATTTCTTTTTATGGTCCAAGGAGAATTGTTGATTCTTTCATCTACATTGTTTAAACATATGTATGAAGGGAAATGGTCTGAAGAGCCATTGTTGATTCTTCCATCTACATGTTTTAAACATGTGTATGAAGGGAAATGGCCTATGGAGACATTGTTGGTTATTTACGGTCTAAGGAGATATGATTGGTTGTTTGTTGTCTGAGGAGACATTTTTTATTTGTTGATAGGCACTTCATCTGAGACAAAACCATCGCTAGTCAGATTTGCACTCCATTTGTCACAAGCTCTCAACAGCTTGCAGACATTCTTACAAAAGGCGTCAGCAAGAATATGTTTGAGAATGCATTGTCCAAGTTGGGCGTTTCAAATATCCACATACCAACTTGAGGGGGTGTGTTAGCAGATATGATAGCCATGATTTATAGAATGACTTACCGTATTAGCATAAATTTGATTATGCTATAGAATATGCTGTGATCTTATTTAGATTTGATTTAATTTTCTTTCTTGTAATATGAGCATGTGCTCTTTTTATCTATAAATACTAGAACTGTGAATGATTGATTATCTCATTCTAGCCTTTACACAATTCTCTCCTTTTTCTTCTATATTATATTTCTACTATATCAAATTTCATTTATTTCATGCCTAAATCTATTATTATTTATTATTTTTGTAAAAAGTATAATTACTAAGCATTTTTAATAATCAAAGCAGTTTAGAACTTATGAATAGGTCATTACTTATGTAAAATAGTCTTCAAAAAGTCAACAAATTTCAAAAAAAAAATCATCTTTATCGAATTATGTTTTAAAAAGTTGTGAATCGGTGCATTTTGGACCCTTCGTGCGAGGTCAAAAAAAATTCACTACTATAGTAACCGATTTTGTTATGTTTCCCCAATACTAACCCAATTTCATTACATCGCAACTACGAACCATGGTTGTAATGGGCTATATTTGATTTGGCTTAGTTTTTTATAGGTTTTTATTGGAGAAAATATAAGGATTTGATCTGTATTGGGAGTATCTTTAGGGATTGGATTTGATCTGATCTTAATCTGATTTTATATGATATTATTTTCATCATGTGCCTATCAGAGGCATAGGATCAGTGATTTGATTTACTTTCCACTTATATAATATTCAGTCTGTAATATAAATTAGGTTTGTGGCTAATGAGAATTTGTGGCTTACAAGAGCCTTTTACATTCAACTTGGTATCAGAGCCAAGAACACGACACACACTCCACTACTTGATCTCTACTTCATCTTCGCTTGGTTCATCCTCTCCTCTTTTTGTGCTCTTTAAATTTTTCAGTCACCAACCACTAAACCACACCCAAGCAAACCAAACCCCTTCGGGGGTATTTTGTCTTCCCTCCATCGCTTCATGTGGTAGAGGGGTCTCTCTCTAAACCAATGACCGGCTCAGTCGTTATGTGTTGTTGACGAATCGTCCAGTCTCTTTTCATTCTCTGTCGACTTCCGCAAGTTAAGTACATGTTGACGAATTGTCAGGCCGAGTTTCACTCTTGCAAACAGAGCTGCTCACTTAGAAGACTTCTCCAGCCCTTGTGACTTGCAAACAGCAGTATTTACAATCTTCAATTCGGTAAGAATCTGCGATTTTATTCTATATCATCACAATCTGAGAAATGGAATATGTTCAAACTAAGGATAACGGATCCTATGGGCATAGTTCCCAAGCCCAAAGGATTACTACAGTTTTATTAAACAGGAAATTTTTTCCGTGTTAGTCGAGATCAGTGAGACTTTATTTAGGGAGTTGGGTAAAACTATATATTTATTGGGCACTATTAAAAAACCAGCACCTACTGAACCCACGTTTACATAATGGGACATTGATAATTGTATCATTCTTGGGTGGTTATTCAATTCTATGGAGCAGTGTATTTATAATATGTTTATGTATCATGAAATTGTACACACCTCATAGAATGCTCTCACTAAGACTTATGCTCATGCTCGTAATGAAGCCCGGATCTATGAGTTGCATCGAGATATCTCACGAGCTACCCAAGGCGATTTGAAGCTGTCAGTTGCAGATTACTTTGCCTTCCTTCAGTCACGTTGGGAGGAACTTACTCACTATGAGTCCCTTGGTGATATATCAGCAGAGCATGCAGGGATTATTAAGGCTAGACACGAGCGCCATCAGATTTATCAATTTCCTATGGGACTCCATCCAGAATTTGAGGCCCTTCGTGCTCAAATTCTGAATACTACACCTCTACCCTCTCTTTTCGAGGCTTTTGCTATTATTGATGGGGATGATCGTCGACGTCAGGTTACACCTTCGATGGCTCCTGCTACACTTCCTACACCTGACACTGATCAAATGGCATTAGTCGCTTCTTCTAGACCATCTGGTACTCGCAGCCGTGGCCGTGGCAGTAACCGTGGACAGGGGAGTTCTACTACATGTGCACACTGTGGAAAAATTGGTCATGCTAAGGATAGGTGCTTCTAGCTCTACCCACACCTCAGACCTAGCAGCACTACAACTTCTTCTACTGTTGCTATTGTCAAGTCCTTTGGTGCCCATGTCCGAGATCATTTATCACAGGCATCTCTCCCTTCAGCTACATCTGTTGCAGCTCACTTATGTACCATCCCTTCAGCTACATCAACTGCAGGTTACTTAGGTACCCCATCTGCATTCCATGCCTCTCAGTCTGGTATTGTTCCTCCAACTTGGGTCATAGATTCTAGTGCTTCCGATCACATAACTGGTGAGTCTCGATATTTTTCGGATATGGAAGCATCCTCCGGGCAGGTACGCCTTGCTGGTGATTCTTTTACACCGATCAACAGTAAGGGTACTGTCCCTTTATCTCCTGATTTATCTTTAAAGTATTTTCTTCATACGCCTAACCTTTCCCTTAACTTATCATTTGTTGGCCGCTTAATTTATCTAACAAACACTAGACCTAATCTCACATTTGCGGTTAGTGTTGCGAGTCAGTTCATGCATGCTCCTAGGACCTCACACTTAGATGCAGTATACCGAATTCTTCGGTACCTCAAGTCCTGCCCAGGACTTGGTCTATTCTACAAATCCACACCACAGCCTCTTATCTCATGCTACACCGATGCTGATTATGCTGAATCTCTGATTTAATTTCTGGGAAAAGTAAGAAACAAAGCGTTGTGTCTCGTTCTTCTGTAGAGGCAGAGTACCGTGCCATGACTCAGGGCAATTGTGAGATCCTCTGGCTTCGTTCTCTATTGACTGAGCTAGGATTTCCCGTATTTAGTTCATCAACTCTATTTTGTGATAACCGGTCTGCTATTATGCTCGCACCTCACTCAGTTCTTCATGAGAGGACAAAGCATATTGAGGTTGATATTCGCTTTCTCAAGGAGAAGTGCGATGTGGAGTTATCCATACTTCCTTAGTTTCTTCTACTAATCAATTTGCCGATATGTTCACAAAGTCAGTAGGACAATCTGCTCTTCACTCTGGTATTGGCAAGCTGGGCTTAGTTGATATCTTCGCTCCAGCTTGAGGGGGAGTATTGGGAGAAAATATAGGGATTTGATCTGTATTGGGAGTATCTTTTGTGATTGGATTTGATCTGATCTTAATTTGATATGATATTATTTTCATCATGTGCCTATTAGAGGCATAGGATCAGTGATTTGATTTACTTTCCACTTATATAATATTCATTCTGTAATATAAATTAGGAGTATGGCTAATGAGAATTTGTGGCTTACAAGAGCCTTTTACATTCAATTGTTTTTAATAGGTCCATGCATTTAATATAGTAGGTACATGAAGACGAAGTTACCTAAAGGTGAAGCAATTCTTAATTAAAGAAAGTTGCACAGGGACTGAGTCACTAAAACTTACATATATACAAATATACATAGATAAATATGCTGTAATAAATATTTTAGTAGAGTTCTTTTAAGAACTCTAGATTTAAAAGTTCCCTTTATTAATCTCTTTCTTCTGATTAAGGACTTCAGAAAGTAAAACCAAAGACAGGGTATACCTGCTGCCTGATTAAGAGCTCGAAAGGCTTGATGACAGTACCACTCATTCCCGCTTAAAAGGTTTTTGGATGATTTATACATGTCATTGTATTTCTTCTTTTGTGCAACTTGAATATCATGTCTGATTACATGTTTGAAACAATTATCAGAGTATGAATTACACAATCAGATATTTATCCCCCCTGTCCAAAAATATAATAACAATAGGGGCCGAGGGGGAGGGACCAAGAATACTTACATGTTGGGGAAGGGAATGCCAACAATTATCTGAAATAGTTAAGATATAACAAGTGATAGTCAATAAGCATCTAAATTAAATGCAGACAGTATGCACATTTCGAGGGGAAAAAATGCTTCCAGCAATACAAGTAGGGAATTGCTGTTTACAGTAACACTAAATTCTAGGGCCACTCACTTCTTATTCACATGATACCAGTAAACTCAATCTGAAAATATGAAGTAAGAGATGTGTTATCCCCAAGGTTTCACACCAAGGGTAACTTGGCAATCTAGGGAATTGTTGTTTAAAGTAACACTAAATTCTAGGGCCACTCACTTCTTATTCACATGATACCAGTAAACTCAATCTTAAAATATGAAGAGACTTGTTAACCCCAAGGTTTCACACCAAGAGTAACTTGGTAGTTTGATGATAACAACCTATTAATGTGGGAATTTAATATTCTACTTGAGTGTGGTGAATTTCAAGATATTCTTTATTAACTCAAGTAATTCAAGATCAAAGGCCTTGGACTTCAAAGGAACTCACGAGAAGATTCAAATTCACGAAGCCAAATGATCATGGAAATCAAAGATCAAAGATCAATGACAAAGTTTTAGTGTATCCAAACCTTATGATGATGGAACCCCAAAGCTTAAAGCATTGAAGATCAAAGAATTGGGTAGGCTAGTATTGGGTGAGTGCTAATATATAATATTAAGTTATTTTTTAAGTAACTTCATTTGAAAGCTCAACCCTTGAACTAGTGGACTTTAGGACCCAATGCACTTCATACATATCATTTTTGTTGAAATATATACATATTTCTATATTTCAACAATTTTAATGATCCCTAGACTCTTAGCACTAGGCCTTGGACTTAATTGAACCATACTATAAGGTCCTAGTCGCTAGTGGAATGACTTAGGCTCATTTTAAGTTCAAACGGACTCATATCTCACAAACAAGCAAATCAGTCCACTTAATCTCATGCCCTAATAACACTTAAATATTGAACATTCAGTGTGGTTGGAATTTTTAAGTTAAACCAATTCAGTTGGGAAGTAGACATAAAAGTTTCAATTTTGACACAAATTTGGCCTGATTTGGGTTTAAAATGAGTGAGTTATGGCCTTCCAAAGTTGGTACATTATTGCAGGGTCATAATGACATCTATAAGAATCGACATATGTCTATTCCCTCACGTTTTGGCCATTTACTGTGAGCAAACTTTTCCAGAATGACACACATCTATGCCTCCATGTTTTGCAAAAGGCAGATTTAGAAGCCCCCAAATGGTCACAAACGGCTATATTCTCAAATGGGCTATAAATACCCAATGACTTGGACATTTTTGGGTGTTCAAGAGAACTAGAGAGAGACCTACCATTTAGCATACATTTGAATATCTCTTGTAGGCAAGATCTACCATGGAGCTTAAATTTGAATATCATTTGGTAGAACATCTCTTGTAGGAACCACCATTGAGTTTAATCTCTCATATCATTCATTGTGGTTCATCTTGCAAACCTAGAGTTAAGCTTTCTCTTGAATACTTCATCGATAACTCTAGGATTTGAGCTTCCATTAAGGGATTTATTTTGTTGTACTTCAACTCTTATCTATCTATTGAGATCATTGTAAGGGTTTGCTCCTTAGCCCGCAAGAGAGTGAGTTCTCTCTTAGCCCTAAAAAAAGGGGGTTTGCCCTTGAGCCCAGAAAATGAGCATGTAAGCGTTTGCAAGATGAGATGGTGGAATTGGGATCCTCAAGAGGTGCTCTTGAGGCATTAATGTAGGCGAGGGTGCCAGACGACCATGTAAATGCTCGGTGTTCTTGGGGTTTGCATTTCTCTACCCCTCTCTCTTTACTTTTACTTGTTATGCTTACCTTGCATAAGAATTTTGTTAGATCTAGATTGGTTATTTTTACATGCACACCAAGTGTTTGATGATTTTCTTGTGAACTTTAAAATGATGGTATTCATGACATTCGTATTATGAATCATATGAGAATTCTTATTATTATGACAATGTGCAAAGGAGGATGGGATGTATGCTTGGATTAAGTAGATTGTTTGGTTGACTTGAATATATAAGGAGGATGGGATGTATGCTTGGATTGAGTAGGTTGTGTTGTGGAATTGATTAGATTGTTGCTTGAAGTAATTACACTTATATTTGCATTCTCATTTGCTAAATCTAGTTGCATACTAAATGCTGGATAAAATAATTTTACAGTTTTCACTTTGTGCCTGTTAGATATTGCTTTAGCCTTCTCATTAAATAAATTCTAATTGCTCACTAAGTGTTTGATAAAAGTAATTTAACTTAACTAAATCTATTTCCACACTAAGTACTTGATAAAAATAGTTCTAGCTTACGTATATATATTTGCTAAGTTATTATGTTTAAACAAGAGAATCTAATAATCTACAGTCTTAACTTTGTGTTTATTTAGTTATATTAGTGTGTATTTATTCTCAAATCTTTACACAAATCTCTTAATTAAGTTTATATTTTAACACAAAGCTTTTAATAGGTAAATTTCCTATAGTTTGCTAAAAGACCCATTTCAACAATCTCCCTCTTGGGTCATTGTTTGGGCAATAAGATATTCAATCTCTATTAGTCCTTTTTAATAAAGAAATTTGGTGGAATAAAATGGCACCTAAATTTCAATGAAGACAAAAAAGGATACCACAACTCGAGCATTTTCATCAGAGAAGTCAATTCCTTCTGAAACCTGCAAAATAACATAGACATTTTGAATATTAAAATCAAACCAAAATCATGTTCTATAATTGTGTTAAGTTAATCAAGGGAAGCATTTAGTTCTTTAATATTATAACGGTTGTCAGGGGCTTATTTGTTATTACTTATATTATGTTGGGTGCTTATGTGTAATTTCTAAAACTTGTTAGTATAAATAAAATGTGGTGGAAGAATGAAAGTATACTTTCATTCTTTCTTTGTTTCAGAAGACGGTAATCTCTCTAGATGCAGTTGTTTGTATGTTAGAGAGGTGGTTCTCTACATATTTTGTTGTTGTTTTGTTTATGATGAGTGTATTAGTTATAAGGTGGTTGTTGCAGTCAATGCAGTCACAAATCAGCAAGGGGTTTCTGTTTGTGAAAATAGCTAACGAGCTATGGAAGGCTGTGGAAGAGACGAATTCCTCGATTGGTAATTTTGCAAAACTATATGAGCTCCAAAAACAAATTTCAAGATTCAAGCAGGAAGACCAAACTCATGCTACATATAACCACTCTATGTGGTAAATGGGAAGATTTGGATCACTACAAAGACTACATACATGTGTGTGCAACTGATGTTAAAGCATTTTGGGCTATGGAAGAAAGGAATCGAATCTATGAGTTCTTGGGTGGCCTGCATCCAAGATACGAGCATGCCAATGTTAGGCAAGTATCCAGCACCAACTTCAGTTAGAGATGTGTTTTCGTAAGTCTAGACTGAGAAGAGTAGAATGAAGGCTATGTCTACACCCAAATACACTAAGCCTGAACCAGAAGTACCATGTCTGCTCTTGCCACACAACAATAGAACAAACCCAACCCTCGAAAAGGAGGGAAGCAGGATAACAAACAAGTTGAGGTGTGATCACTGTGGGCGTACGCGCCACACTAGGGAAACATACTGGATTCTACACGATCGCCCTACTCCAGCTCCCACTCATGCGAATGCTAGGCCAAGGCCTGGTCCATTCTGGGGGTTATCTACGGCACATACTGTAGCGCGTGAGACTGCTTCTACTGGTCATTCCTTCTCAGGGCCACCAAGTTCTTTGTCCGAGGCTGAAGTTGATGCTCTTCAACATCTGCTAGCTCAAAATGCCTCCATTTCCACCTCTAACTTCCCTCAGACAGGCACCTCTCATTCGGCAGATCAGGTTTCCACATTATTTGGTGACTGGTATGGCATATGATTTCTCTTCATACAATTTATGTTCTGGTAATGATAAGGTTCGAGTGGCCGATGGCACCTTCACCTCCATTGCGGGGAAGGGCACTGTTCCTGCCTCTCCTAATCTTATTTTATTCTCTATTCTTCATATTCCAAAGTTTATGAATAACCTCCTTTCTGTTAATCACATTACAAAAGGCTTGAATTGTAATGTAACCTTTTTCCCATCTCACTGTGTGTTTTAGGACTTGAACACGGGGAAGACGATTGGGAGCGGACAAGAGGACAATGGCTTGTATTTGCTAAACGCAAGACCAACTTCTTATTATTTTGCAAATCAGTCTAGTGTTAGGAATAGTAATGTCGATAAAGATCTGTTAATGCGATGGCATAATAGACTCGGTCATTTACCTCTTCCTGTTTTGAAGCATGTGATTCCCCAGTTTGCTTCTGTTGAATCTTTTTAGTTAAATTGTGAAACATGTGTTCTTGCCAAACATTGTCGTGTTTCTTATCCTACTAGTGTTAATGAAAGTACAACTCCTTTGCAGCTTGTTCATTCTGATGTGTGGGGTCCTGAATCTACTACTTTGTTTCTTGTTTTCGCTACTTTGTCGTGTTTGTTGATGACTTTAGTCATTATACTTGGCTTTATTTTATGGAAACCAAAGATGAAGTTCATTCCATTTTTAAAACCATTCATAAGACTATATATACTTAGATTGGTTGTCCCCTCAAAATCCTTCGATCTGATAATGGAGGAGAGTTTATGTATGGTGGTCTTACCTCATTTTTTGCTGATAACGGGATTTATCCATCTAACCTCCTATGCTAATACATCACAACAGAACGATGTAACTAAAAGAAAACACCATCATATAACGGAGCATTCTCTTCTAATTGGGATGGGAGTGCCTAAAAGTTATTGGGCTAATGCAACCTTAGCAACTACATACCTTATTAATCGCATGCCTTCTAGGGTTCTTGGCTATCAATCCCCCTTCTCTATCTTACACCGTCAAACTGCCTTGTTTATTGTCCCTCCAAAAGTGTTTGGTTGTGTTTGTTATGTTCACATTCATCATCACACGAACAAAATGGACCCAAAGGCAATCGGATATGTCTTTCTTGGATACTCCGCCACTCAAAAAGGGTATCGGTGTTATAACCCTACCACTCGTCATTGGTTTGTCTCCATGGATGTTACATTCTTTGAGTTTGTTCCTTTTTTTCCCACTGCTCGAGATTCTCTACAAAGGAAGACTATTATTCATGTAAAGAAACCGTCGTCCATTCAGAGGGAATGCCCCCTTCCTTTGCCTGTTCCCATTCAGGGGGAGGTTCCCATTCAGAGGGAGCTTATTACTGAGTTGCCTATGTCTAGTCCTCCTAACACTAATGATTTGAGGCAAGAAAGCAGCCAATTGTCTATACTTGGAGGGCAAAACAAGTCATTGACTCACCCAAGTAGCAAAAGTCTCCATCGATCCAGCTAATTCCTCAGCTGACATTAATACTCCTAATTCTTTTCCCAATAGCATTCGTGTTGATCTTGATGTCCCTATTGCCTATCGTAAGGGTGTTCATAGTTGTACAAAACATCCCATATCACACTTTGTATCCTATGATGCCTTATCTCCAACATATCGTGCTTTCACTTCGTGTATCTCCTCTGTATTTGTTCCTTCAAGTGTTTCAGATGCTCTTAGTCAAACTCCACAGAAGGAAGCCATGCTTGAAGAGATTAAGGCCCTTGAGAAGAATGGTACTTGGGATATTGTTCCATTACTTAGGGGTAAGAAACCAGTAAGCTGCAAATGGGTCTACACAATAAAGTATCATGCAGATGGAACAATTGAGAGATATAAAGCCTGGTTAGTAAAGGGCTTCACTCAGACCCTATGAAGCATGGACACGGACACGGCAATACGTCAAATTTTGAAAAAATAGGACACGGACATGGCAAAGATACGTCAATTAAATAATAATATAATTATATATATATATAATTCTCAATTTCTTCTTAATACATTACTCAATTAAATTAGGCTCATCGGGTATTTCATGTTTCTTTTAAAAAAACATAAGGTCTGATAATCTTTATATCCAACAAGTACAATTGTATCCTTAAAACCATACAAGTGTTAAAACTATATAATATTAAAATCTTATCCCTTTTCTCTCTTCCTCGCTCTCTTCAGACGTGTCGTCTTATTGTTTCCACCTACCTCCTCTCTCTTCGCCTGCCTCACTCCTCCATCTTTAATTTTTCTAATCTCTCTCAACCCAAGGTCTCCATCATTCTTACAATTTTATACCTCTCCATAAACGATATTTTTCACTTTTCTGAATCTTTAACTCTCTGATATCTCTCAATGGTCTTTTTCTTGTGTGTATTATACACACACACACACACACACACACACACACACATACATCGTCTTCTTCTCTCTGTTATAAAGAAAAGGTAAAAAGAACGTTTCTTTTGATTGAAGGTGTGTCTTCAGCCGTGTCCCGGCGTGTCGAGAGCCGTGTCCATCCCAAATTTTTCAAAAACAACAACAGGACACGTATTCAAGGTGTCAGACACATGTCGAAGCCCAGGACACACGTGTCCATGTCGTACACATGTCCGACACTGGTACACTGCACCATAAAAGCATGTCGGTGCTTCATAGCTCAGACCTATGGGATTGATTATCTGGAAACATTTGCTCCAGTTGCCAAGATGAACTCTATACCTATGTTACCTGGACTCGGGTACGGGTGTCGGACACGGGTATGTGTCAAGAGGTCGGATTCACCAATCTATTCAATTATAGGACACGGGGACACGGAATAAAAGTGTCCAAAATTCGGACACGGGTACTTGGACACGGCATACAAAATATTAAAAAATGAAAAATCATATTAGTGATAGTCTAATAGATTTAATCATATAGGCAACTAAGCATGGCATAAGGCAACAAGCAGCAACTAACAAGATAACTTAGATAAGTAAGAGATGATGTTAATTCATAATTGTTAAATAAGTTAAATAACCTGAAAAAAACAGAGAGGGAAAAACAAAAAATATAATAAAATTGGGGAGAAGATTTTTCATGAGTACAAAATTACATCATTGTATTAACTTACAAACGAAGAGTAATAAATGAGTTCCAACCCATAAGTTAAACAGCCCATAAGGTAATATTGTATTGAAAGAAAGAATTTACAGCAGGCCAAACCCTCAACCAATGGGCCAACCCATAAGTTAAACAGCCCATAAGGCCTTTCAGATGGATTAAAGACGTATTCAGTCTAGGGTTTCCTAAACTAAAGAAGTCTAAGCCAAAGATCATCCGGTTCCAAACAGCGACACAAGTGACGCACTAGCAGCACCGTGCACCACCGTGCTCATCAGTCTGGAGGCTCTGCCGGCGGCCGTATGAAGGAATCAGGCAGATCCCACGTGAGTATCATTCTCCTAACACAACCAGAGTCTTTAACCACCATAGATGATAGTCTTTGCCTTATCAATAATAAATAGGGTTATTCTTGTCAAAAACCCACCACACACACACACATATACGCACAAGAGAGAAGAAAGAAAAGAAGTCTCAGACCTTTTGAGGAGGCAAAAACGCAACTTAATACGGAGTACTACACAATATTTTCTAATTTTTTCATCATAAACAAATGCTTTAATTATAAGGTTAAAAATGTAAATTTACACTTATTTCAAACGGTCAATTGTGGTGAGTGGGTTACAACTGGTAACCCACTAACCACATATTTATTATTATATATATACCATATATATATATATACTACTACCATATATATATACACACGTTTCTCAATGACAATGACAGGCAGCTGTATGTTGAAATTTATTTACGCGTTAGAATGTGAACAACACGCTTCAAATAGGGTAAGTTTCTATGCAAAACCAACGCGTGAAGATTCCTGGTCTTTTCCAAAACCCCTTTCCTGAAAATCGCGGCGAAACCAATAATTTCCGTCCACAATTTACGACCACTGAAATAAGGGTTTTCTTCAACAGCCGTGTCCGATCTTGACCGTACAAGGTCAGACGCATATCCCGAGTCCGAGTCCGTGTCCGTGTCGTGTCGACATGGACACCCTCGCCGGAAACGACGAGTCCAAGTAACATAGCTCTATACTTGTCCTTCTTTCTTTGGCAACTAATTTGAATTGGCCTTTACATCAACTGGATGTAAAGAATGATTTCCTTCATGGTGACTTGAAGGAAGAGGTGTATATGACTATGCCACCCACCAATGGTCAGAATTTAGTATGCAAGCTAAATAAAGCCTCGTATGGGTTAAAGCAATCGCCACGTGCTTGGTTTGAGAGGTTCAGCACTACTGTGAAAAAGAGTATTGTACACACAGAGTCAGGCAGATCATAATCTCTTCATCAAGAAGCACCATGGTTACACCACTGCCCTTATTGTACATGTTGATGAGTCGAATAAAGTCATTCTTGGGCACAAAGTTCGAGGTTAGAGACCTCAGATCATTAACTTACTTTCTTGGCATCGAGGTGTGCAGATCCAAGAAAGGGGTATTCATTTCTCAACGGAAGTATGTGTTAGATTTGTTGGCTAAAACTGGCAGGCTTGAAGCTAGACCTATTGATATTCCCATTGAGCAGAACCATACGCTTAATGATGTGGATGGAGACCTATTAGATGATGTGGGAAGATTTCAGCTATGCATGCTCCACGTACACCTCACCTTGAGGCAGCTCATCATGTTCTTCGCTACCTCAAGGGTTCACCCGGCAATGGGATATTGTTTGGCCATCATGGCCACTTGCATGTTGAAGCCTATAATGATGCTGATTAAGCAGGGTAAGATCGACGATCTACTTCAGGATATTGCACATTTGTTGAAGGTAATCTTCGTTTCATGGCAAAGCAAGAAACAATCTGTAATAGCTAGATCTAGTGCAGAGGCTAAGTTCAGATCCATGGCACATGGAGTTTGTGAGTTGTTATGGCTACAAACTATATTGGATGAGGTGGGTTATCATGTTTGCAAGTCAATGAAGTTGTATTATGACAACAAAACTGCTATTAGCATTGCCAACAATCCAGTTCAACATGACAGGACAAAGCACATTGAAGTCGATCAACACTTCATCAAGGAAGCTTCGTCTTAGGCTGATTTGTACTCCATACGTCAACACACATGATCAGACTGTTGATGTTTTAATTAAGGGTGTGAGCAAGACTTGCTTGCAAAATATGTTAGTCAAGCTGGGCATGATAGATATCTTTACACCAGCATGCCCAGCTTGAGGGGGAGTGTTGTCAGGGGCTTATTTGTTATTACTTATATAATGTTGAGTGCTTATGTGTAATTTCCGAAACTTGTTAGTATAAATAGAATGTGGTGGAAGGATGAAAGTATTCTTTCATTCTTTCTTTTTTTCCCCATCTCTCTCTCGTTTTCTCTCCTCCTCTTTCTTCTCTTCCTCATCTTCTTATACTTTACTCTTGGTTTGATTATCTCTTAAAGTCAACAGAAACATCCTTTCAATAGCTTAGTTATTGTAGGAGATAGATGTGCATGTGCATACAGATAAATGTTCTAAAGAGTTGGTTCACTTATGCAAAAAGCTGAAGTAGCTGTTATTAGGAATAGTTATTTAGGCTTAAAAGAATCATTTACATGTTGATAGTGGTAAGCTAAGAAGCACGGAAACGGATATGACATGCCACGGACACCTTGACACAGCAAATCATAAGAAATTAGGACACGGAAAAGGCAAGGACACGGCGAATAATAAATATATATATATATATATGATGTTGTCCTTTAAGAAATTAAGAGTAATATAATTTTTTATTAACAATAATGAAAATAATTGTGTTTTGCTGGGAAAAAGAAAGAATGATAAAAAGAGGGTTAAGAAAGAGAAAAAAACAATGAAACAAAGAGGATTGGGGTTTTGTTAGAAAAAGAACAAGGGCTTAGTTAGTAATGACCATAATATTACCGAAAGCTATTAAACTCCTCATATTTACACTTCAACAGAGCTTTCTTTCTAAAACTTTCTTAAAATCCCCAAGTGCATTACTTATCTCCAAAAAAAAGTACACACACACACACACATATATATAAGTAAATCCCCAAGAATGGGACATGCGTGTCGGACACGTATTCATGACGTGTCCGACAGGTGTCCACGGCGTGTCCGTGCTGTGTCCGAATATTCAAAAAAATTAAGACACATTTTTTGGCTTGTCCGACATGGATTCTTTGCCCTTTTAGGCATGTCCGTGCTTCCTAGGTGGTAAGGCATCGAATATCTATCTACAGGAAAGGGGACTCTATATTGACAAAAGGGTCCTATAAATTTTAGAAGTCAGAGTTTGAGAAAATGATATTGCATAAGGATTTTACATCAGAAATACAGCCACATTTCAAGATATACTAAGTGCATGCCACATCAGAAAAGATACAAGACTCTGACCTCAGACACAAAATTTTATCTTTATTGAACTGGCAGAGATTGATCTATGTGATCAATTTCAAGCTGCTTTAGTCCATTATTGTCCACAATTTTCTTTGAAGTAAAAGGATCAACTAGTCTATTGATTTTTGAGTTTATGACTCTTGGTTTCTGATTTTTTTTATCTGAGGAGATGACATGTGAAAAATCACTCAAAAATATCTGAAGTATACAAACATCAATTCCAATGAGAAAATGACAACAAAGACCAAAATGGTCATGGCAGCATCAACCTTGACTGAATTTGAAATGCAGAAAAAAAAATACAAAAATAAAGAAGAGGTTCACAAACCCTACTGAAATTATCTGCTATACACCAGTACAAAACCATTTGCTTATTTACATTTTGTTGAAGGATATAAATATATAAGTTACACCCTCTCCAACAGCTTAAGCTTTTAGGGTAGATGGGTAGTTAACATGGTATCAGAGCCAAAGGTCTCGAGTTCAAACCTCACTGTCACCCTAATTAAGAACTGAAAACCACGTGTTGGTCCAAAAAGAAGGCCACACGTGAGGGGGTGTGTTGAAGGATATAAATATTTAAGTTACACCCTCTCCAACAGCTTAAGCTTTTGGAGTAGATGGCTGTTAACACATTTTATAATGGAAGTGATAGTACAAGACAAAATTATTGACTAAGTTCACTTCAATAAATATACCTTTCCACGGCAAACTGCAAGAAATGCAGCCCCTTCCTTCTTAGAAATTTCTGTGCACTGCGTTGCATTGAGCTTGTTAAGATCCATTTTCTTAACCCCTCTCTTTCTCCCATTAGCAAGTTTATTGCCTTGACGAATTGAATCATAATAACCCTTCAAAACAGCCTCAAACTCATCCTGGTTTCCTCCTCTTGGTTCTAATCAACCCACAAAAACCCACAAAATATATTAGCTTGCTCAGTTCAACAAAGGAAGAACAGCGATAAGACATCAAAGCATCAATTGCTAGAGATTTGAATGGCAAGGAAGGTCCTACAACATCAATAAAGAAGGCCTACCATACACCCAAAAAGTCAGATGATCTTTAGTGATAGTTCCAAAAAAGAGATTTGCTATGCAACAAGCTCAACTACATGAAGAATTGATGTACAAGGAGAGGGACATTGAATTCATACCAACAAAAAGGGATTTTCGAGCATTTAATCGAGACCATTGACCTGTTTCATGCCAACGACTGCATAGTTTCTCCATCAGCTTATAGCTGGGAAAGAATACTAGACAGCCACCTGGAACTATCTTGCATATTTCTTCTAAAGATGTGCCAAGTGCATCCTTCACAAAGAGTACAACGACAACTCATTTACATATGAGAAAGAATTCCTCATCTTAGTCAATCAAAAAAAAAAAATTGGCAAATGCCATAATACCTGGAAAGAAAACCCATCGGCTGTCTTGTAACTAGCATTTAATGGATAATTGCCTGGAGCAGTGGAGATTATGGCAGCCCACAGCTACAGCAAAAATGTAAACATTTTTTAAAGAGAAAAAATAAAATAAATTTCAACAAATAAGCCCTTAAAAAATGTCACCCACACCTGTGATTCAACATCTATTACATGTGGAGCTTCAAGACAAGTTCCAAACTGAACCCCAAGTTCAGATGAAAATGAGTTCATTGGTGATAGAGTCCTGTAAAGAAGGGGTGAGCAAAAAGTGTAAGATACTACTTTGGGGAATGCAGTAAATGCAATTTGTGGAGGGAGAGAAGAGAAAGCAAAGTACAAGTGTAAAAATCACTGTGAACAGAACACTGAACTTTCTGTAAGTTGTAGCATGATTTGAGACATCATACACATCATCTACCTTCCATGTGAGGTTAGTGTATGTGCCGGGATGGTGGGATTCGAGTGGAAAACAGATGCCACAACTTAGCAAGAACCATAAAAACAAATGATGTGTACTGAAAAATGATAAGAGCTTAGAAAGAACATGATGGGTTTAGAAGATTGAATATTGATCCTATATAAGTTCTACTGGGTTAATAGGTACACTTGCTATGAAGATAGTGGACAAAAGAAGAGCACAAGTTTTCATATGCAGGCACGTGTCTTAGTGCAACAATAGTTAAGGAATATTAGACAAGCTCTGACAGTATTTATACCAATATGCCTATACTTACCCAGATGTTAGAATCACAGACAAAGAAAGATCTGCAACACCTCTGAAGACAATTGCTGGATTCAAGCACCATAAACTAAGAGTATGTGTCCAGCCCCCAGCAGCATTTCCTGCATGTTGCATAAAAATACAACATTCACAACAACAGCAGTAATTATAATTGGAATGGTATAATAGATCAAACATGAATTCAGGTGTATAAGGTGATACTATGAGCATTGAATGGAATGAAGATAAGAAGATATGCATCGAAGCCAACATAGCCTTCATATTCTTTCAATCTTGCTTCTACTTGTCTTATCACATAACTAATCTTTTATTTCTTCATTTATTTTCTGGGTAACTTGCAAGTGTTGGCTTTATAACATTGTATAAGTCATTTACTAAAATCCCTACTGAAAAATTTTAGTCCTTCACTTCAACAGCATGTTAAAGACTCTAGACAAACAACTCCAAATACATATTGACTTTTAGCATTTGAATATATCCTAATAGACAATGTTTCTTTTTACTGTACAACAATTCAGGTGCCGTCTATAATATGGTATTCTTGGTAAAACTATGATGTTTGTAACAGGGAATGCAATAACCAGACCCTAACTTCTGCTTTTCATACAGTGACAAATTGTCCATCCTAAAACAATACTTCAACTCTTTCTGAACATTTCAGGCATAATTTAGAAGATAAGTCTTTTTAATTCCTTAATAAGAGTAACAGAGTGACAGACTGGAGATTTCATATCAACAGAGGAATTAAATATTAATAACTTCTGAGTTTCTTTCCCTGTCAGTATCTTAAAGAAATTAGACTTGAAAAACAACACCATACCACTTACCAGCACCGCTTTTAACACAACGTTGTAATACAAGCTGATAATCAAAAATATGAAGTCCATTTCCCGAGAAGAAGTAATTAAGCGAAGAGAACAACCCTGTGTGATCATAGACAGTCAACTACTATATTAGAAGCTTACTAATCAATAGATAAGTCTGAAATTTGTAGACATGAAACATAAGTACCTTCCAATGTTGTTACTGACATGCCACTTAAATGTGCTACATCCAGCTCTGCATCTGAAGCAACTTTGATCGCCTTAAGAAAATGAGAGAATAAAAATAACAAAGCCAAAAAAAGAAAAATTAAGTATTCAACCACTACAATTGCTAGATAGAAAGTGCGAACTCATTAGAATATTACCTTTGTCGCACATTCTTGCAAGATTGGGAAGCACTGCTGTGAAATGTTAGCTTCTTGCAGCTCTTTTAAAGCTTTATCACCGGTCCAACTAGAAAATAATAATTAAACAAATGTCTCATAGAAAAGACCCTGTTTATCAATACAAGGAGCAAACAAAAACATCTAATTTGAAGTTGTTGACAGATAAACAACCCAAAAAAATGAGTTAAAAACTGCAAAATTCGCTAGTGGTCATTCTAAATTCACAACAAAAATTATTAATAAAATATTCTGAAGATATTGCCACAACTTTAAACATGGAAAAATAAAAAGTAACGAGAGGGAGAGAGAACAATGTTGGACAACTTTATTTTGCAATTCCCACACGCCAGAAATTGGGGAAGAGTATCTTGATTTTTACTACATTGTTGTAATCAAGATATTTTTTAAATGAAACACAGAGCTTACAACATGTTGGATAACTATATACGGCCTATCATAAGTTTTTTAACACTTTGCACAACAAAAACACATTATAACCTCTAGCTTCTTATGTTTGTCTTAGCTTCCCTTTACTTTGTGAATCCTTGATACAGGACCCAAAAGAAAGATGGAGATGGGAATAAGAAGATGAGATGGGGCCAGAAGAAAAGGGAGGGAGAAATAGATGAATGGGATGAGAAAAAAAAGACATAAAGATAGGATGGATAGACCGAGAATAAGAGAGCATATACATACATATATATATATATATATAGGATGAAGGATAAAAAGAAGAGTAATCAAATTATATTTTATTTTATTTTATTCAAAAGTATTTTTGTCGCAGTAATATATGAATTGCAACAACTAACAACTGATGACGATTCAAATTAAATGGTTATAAAAAGCAGGTGTATGGTATTTGCCATAAATCCACATGGAAAGAGGGGGAGGAAGGTCCCTACTAATATGGGACTACTTACACATTTCTTCGACTATTTACTAGATAAAAGATATAGAATTAAAAGTAATCAATACATTATACTATAGTGTAAGAGAGAAATAAAAGAAATTATTATACATAAACTCCATGGACAGAGGGAGAGGAATGCATCCCACTACCACTTAATCTCTTGCAAAAAAGTGATATGCAAGCGAAGGTACATTGGGGCATGCATTTTGTCTACCAACATTATCGAGTAATCCCAATTCCTATAAAAAAAAATAAGAACTTGAAAGATTAAATAATATATAATACCAAGGGTAAGACCATAAGAGGTAAATATATGACAATAATACATCATTGGTTTAAAACACATTTACGGGATGGCTGAAGTGGCACCAATTGGAGATAAAATGAGAGAAATTTGATTAAGATGGTTTGGACATTTGCAAAGAACACCGAGTACTCCAGTTAGAAAGAGAGACATGGTCCAGATCGAGGGTAATGCTAGGAGAAGAAAAAAAACAAAATTGACGTGAGTAGAGTTAGTAAAGAAAAATATGATAACATGTGGTTTGATTGAGGCTATGGCATTAGGTAGAGCGGAATGGAAGAATAGGATTCATGTAACCTACCCCAAGTAATTGGGAAAAAGCTTTTCTCATTTTGATAATTATTGTTTAGCGAATCACATGTTAAGTAAGATTAGCATCAAAAACAAAAACAAAAAACAATGAGTGGTACTGATTTCAGACATTTACAAGTGATCAAATGTCAATAAATGGTTTTTAATTATAGCACTGTTGGAGAATATTATTATAGGAACCCTTAAATTACTCCTTGACAGAATATTGATATGAGAATATGACAGGAGTGATTTTAGTCTATAATACTATTATCCAATAGAGATCAACAAATTACCTAAAATAACTCACCATGAGAAGTAATGCTGAAATCCACGCTTTTCTAAGGTATTTTTCCTCCTTCCAATCCAACTCATGATGTCCTACACAGGTTACAATTGTTACTGATAATTGTTGATAGAAGTCTCGGCCTCAACCATTAGGAAGTGCACTGACTGAAAATGATTACCTGAGTCATTTCATATAAAGGTTGGTAAATCATGGCATCAAAAAGACTTAGTTGCCCGAGTTCTGTCTGCAATTCTTTCCATAAGACATGAAAACAATAAGAGATATATCAATAAATTTAATTAATAAGAAGTAATAGGCTTGCACTTACGAAGCAAAACATCTTCCTCAAGATCCATACTACCTGCATCACGAGCCATGTCCTCTATATTGCTGGAAATAAATGTAAGTAATTTAGAAATTATATTGTACAAATCTGTGCCAAAATTTATATATACAGATAAAGTTTGAAACCAACTGACTACTCAGGATCACTGATACTACAAGCTTCTATCAATTGCCTAATACAATTATGAAATGCACACACACACACACACACACACCCCAGCAACAATGTTGAGCATTCATTTTTTAAATTGACACCTTGCACTTAATGACAAGTATCAATCAACACTTTTACTCTCTCCGTCCCAATTTAGTTGTTCATCTTTCCTTTTTGGGAAGTCCTAAAATACTTGTCCCACCTAAAAAGTTCAAACAAGATATTTCACATCTTTCCATGAATGCCCTAGAAGTTTTATAAAACTTCCAACTTGATTATATTTATATTCAAACTTGAAAGGATAACTTAGTAATTTTAAAAGGGAACAATACATTAATTGCGTGTCCCTTAAAAACTTCTATTCCCCAAAATGGATAATTATTTTGGACGGAGGGGGTAATATTTTAACCCCCTGCATTTTCTCAGCAACCTTGCTGAGGTTTGGAAAATAATAATAAGATAATCTCCAGCACAAAAATGAGAGGTGGAATGCATACTGTGCTTCATCAAGAATAACAATGGCCCCATTGATATCTACATCCATGGCTCTCCTAATGACTGGATTCATGATATAGCTGTAGGGGCAGAAAACTAATTGTGCATCATCTTCCATAGAAAGTGCGGCAAAATATGAACAACCTGAAATAAAAAATAAAAATAAAGATTACATATATATATATATATAACAGCATTAAAACCTTTAGTTTAAAAATATTAAATTTTAATATATACATATATATGAACCTTTCACAACTTGCCCAACTTTCACAAGATCTTCAATATCATGAGCCTCATGGCATCCTCCTTTCTGAAGAGATGGATGACCTTTGACTTTATGCACATTTCTGTTTAAGAAAATAAATAAATAAATAATTGGCTTATGACTATTTACACTACAGCAGAACCAAAGACTGCAGCATACATATAGATAAAGAACTTACTTGAATTCTGAGCATCCTACTTCCGGGTTCTTCAGAAGCAGCTTACTGGATTTTCCAGCCACATGTATTAGCATGAAAAGAAAAGAAAAGAAAATGTAAACAAATAATTCTTTTGAGGTTAAAAAAAAGAACCATTGCTCGTCAATATTATCTCCCCCACGTAAATGTGTGTTTGTACAGTAATGTTTCCGTGATGCCTGAAAGATGAAAAGACAATCAGTGAACAATAACTACATCTCTAAAATAACTTCAATGAGGACAAAATGACTAAGAATTTGAGAAGATGTGTATCAACACCAATTGAAAGTTTAAGAAAAGGAAAAAGAATTAATACTTTCAAATGGCAGTTGACTGTTAGCATAGAATCATCTCAGACTTTCTTACCTTATGGTCCTTACCGGTAAAAATATAAAACACGAGCACAATGCTCCACCCTTTTAACCTATCTCAGTACTTAAATGGAAGGGCAGTTAAGTTTTGCTTTTCGAAACTATACATTTAATAACATCAACTAATCTGGTAAGCAAAACAAATATTTTTCATTAAAAAATATGACCTACTTGAACTCCTCATCCTTATTCAACTACAAATAATCTAATAAAAAAAATAAAATAAAAAATAAATAAAAATAAAAAATTTTAAAAATTCCAAAAGAAGGGAACTACTTGATTTCTTATGCTAATCATCTACCAATGGAAACATGCTCATAAGAAACACACTCTACTATGAAGACCAAAGATAGTGCACAACTACATCATCAAAGCACATTCAATGGCCTGATAAACAAAAGAAAAGGCATGTCAGGGTAGATAAAAGAAAAACAGACATGCTTCAGCAATGGTAAGGTTCGTAAACAACCCCTGTGATTAAACAAATTTCTGAATCGATGTGAGTGCTACAAAGTACTGAATTGTAGCAGAGTAAACAATGATTCATATGATTGTCATAAAATTATTCTAGAAGTATATGTCGAGTCACTAATTTCATCCTTCTGTAGAGTATGAAAAGTAGGAGCCATTGTTTGATACAATAGCAAAATGCTTGGGCTGCCAAATGTCTGCAAAACATGAAATCCCCAAGTTTTGAAAACAGCAACTTTGTGCAAATCATGATAAAGCCTAGATATGCATTTGGACAACCCTTGCATCGGCAAACTATCACAAGGTAATGACCTCAAATATAGTAGCATGGAAAGTCTATATAATGCAAAAAATCCAAGGATTTCAAAATTGAATCTGGATATTAGGCTACACAGGTGCTACACGTACGCTTATTGGGCAACTGCACAGTATATCTATTTGTCAAGTGTCTAGAGTCTTCTAAAGTGGCATAGGTTTTGTAGGTAGTCTGGAATATTCCTGAATAAAATATAGCCAGGTGGTGTTTAATGAATTGGGTAGAACATTCTAGAATGTAGGTTTTAAAGAGATGTGCAAATATAAATTTCTGTTGAATATTCTAGAATTTTCCTTTAAGAAAATAAAAAAACTGTACAGAAGGTTGGAGTTTCATTATTGTCATTTGCTCCCATCAATCTCCTCATCTGTAACAAGTACTCATATAGAATTATAATATAGTTCTCATTCTCTTGTCAAAAAGTGTCATGACTAAGTATGCATGAGTGAGCAATCAAGGCCACTATGACACTAAGCAAGATGCATGGGCGGGTGAACATTGGCACAGGCTACCCCAGAGACCAAGGGGTCTTGACAAGTGAGGATTAAGACCGTGGTGTTGCATAGGTTTAGCTAAGCAAGTTGAAACTCTAGAATTGTGACGGGAGGCTATATAAAAACCAAATAAATTATGTTATATAGCAGTAGGAACACATTATATTGTGTTATTGCAAACGCATCCAATTTGGAATCGACTTTATTGCTAAAACTGTACAAAAATGTCTCCGAGAGTTCTCAAAAGGAAAGCTTAACCTATAAAGTGAAAAATCCTACTTGTTAGAGGAAGGAAGGTGATGATAAGGTAGCAACAAACCAGAATGGCCAATAGTCATTTCCCACATGGTGAAAGCAAACAAAGTTGCTCAATTAGCAACTATGCTTCACAAAACAAATGTCTCTCTACTGTAATCCTGATTTTCCATAGTTCATGTCCTACAATCATACCCTCACTTCTAAGCTATCTCCAAAGTGAATTCATGCGACTCTCCCAAAAGTAAAACATATAATCAATCCCAAAAATTCCTCCCTAGCTTTGAGGAAGTTATCTTATCGGATTGACTTGGAGGACATTGTTGGTACAAGCCATTTCAACAAGGCACTGGCCATGTGGTTTATGAGTGTTCTTTGGAGGATAAGGACATTGATGACATAAGGTTAGCTTATTCAAAAAGTAATATAGGCAAGGACTTCAGTATCTATTACTATTCAGCAAGAGAGGCCCCTACTAGGTTTAAGGATTTTATGGCCGCTATTTTTACTACGGATAGGATGGTGGTAAGGTTTATCAAAGTATCAATAGAGTACGAAGGGAAAATAGTAGCCCTAAAAAGAAGGTGGTTGAGCACTGGCCAACCATATAAAAATTGGATCAAAAGAATAGAAAGGTTATCAGTATTGTCTTTATGGCGATGGCACTTTTCTTGTTTGTTGCAAGGACATAGGCAACTTCATAATTTAGCACTCAAACCAAGGTTGCCAAGATCGAGATCCTACATTGGATCAACTAGGGGATCTGATAGTAAGATCTGATTGAGCATCTTAAGATCCTACAAAGTGAGAAAAAAAAATAAAAAAATAAAACCAAATTTATATTTAAGAATTCTTAAAATAGATAGGGAACAAATATAAAACACATAACAAAATAGAAAAATTATAATTCAAGAAAAAATGGTAATTTATTACAAATGTGTGGAACATCAATGGGTGCACAGTTCATGCAAGTATATTTGATTATGTAGCACACAAAGTAAAACCCTAATGCAATGCAATTATTTGCAAGTGAGCTTGTACAAGGTAAAGGTTCAAATCCTTTTATTCGTATTTTTACTTATCAAAATGCATGTTTTATGATACCAAAATCACATTTTAATAACACAAACCAAGAAAATTCTAACACAATCAACCATGTTGAAGGATTTATATTTTTAAGTTACACCCTCTCTAACAGCTTAAGCTTTTGGAGTAGATGGTAATTAACATGGTATCAGAGCCAAAGCTCTTGAGTTCAAATCTCACTGTCACCTTGATTAAAAAAAAAAAATTGAACAACATGTGTTGAACCAAAAGAAGGCCAAACGTGACAGGGCCTATTGAAGGATTTATATATTTAAGTTACACCCTCTCTAACAGCTTAAGCTTTTGGAGTAGATGGTAGTTAACAAACCAAGTATCAATTACATTTGTTATAACATGGAGTATATTTGATAAAAGTCGGAAATTAATCCATTTTACAAATATTTCAAGTACTATGAAAGTAAAAACATGTAATTGGATTTCTTTCATACATGAATGATCATGAATAAACCTCACACACGATCATATGGCAATCCTAAAAATATATCATTTCCTATGGCACAATTGTACTATGGTCCTATGATCAATCCTGAACGATCCTATCACAATTTTACCACTGTGATTTTTCAAATGATCCAAATTGATTGGATGGTTTTAGATCATAGGACTGTATGAAGTAATTAAAAACAATTTTAAAAAATTAAATTAAGAGAAGATATGGTGTGTGATAGAAAAAGAATCGAAAAAGAGAATTCAAGAGGCCGACCCCATCTATATGGGATAAAGGCAAGGATGATGATCATGACAACAGCTGTATGATCCTAGGATCCAGGTTATGTTTTGATAACCATGATTCAATTCCTATATATTTCCTAGAAGTCCATCTTTACTAAGGGTGGCAATTTGTGTTGGTGTGTCCTGTTCGTGTCGTGACATGGCTATCCTGTTGTGTGGATCAACATGAACTCAATATGATTACTATTCGTGTCAAAAAAAACCTTGACACGAACATGACGTGATTATTAAATGGATAACGTTAAACGAGTCATTTCTCACATGAAGATGGCACAGTTATCAAACACATTAAGTTAAACGGTTCGTTTCTAACACGAACATGACACATTTATCCGACACATTTAGTTAAACGGGCCTAATCGATTATAGACGGGCTAGTGGGTAGAACAAGACTTGTTTAATTAATGTGTCAATTCAGGTCGATACGATTAAGACAAACCCAAACCTACTTATTTTATGTAGTGTTAGTATGTCATGTCAAGTATTGCCTCCCCAAATCTTTATCCCCAATGGCTAAAATGACCAATATACCCTTGCAAGACATCTAGTAGCATATCAGATGCACCTTAGCAATGTCTAGGAAATTAAAAACACTCTAATAATGTATAAGGAACATCCAACCGAACAAAAATAACCATGAATTTGTAATCAACCTAACAATGACTAAGCACTTCCAAAACAAAATGGGATTGCTCTTTCGTAATATTATACCCTTATTACTTATTCAAAAAAATATTATATCCTTATAAAGTAAAATGACATAAAAGTACTCTCCCCAATTCATTCCTTTTTTTAGTAGTATCCCCAATTTATTCCAATTTAATTTATTTGCTTTCAGTTGGATTAAGGACATAATGATTATATAAGAACAATTTTAGAGTGGAAAATTAACCAAGTAAATAGGTCGATTCAGGTTGCCCTGAATACATATCAACAATCACGACGTTTTTCAGACACATTAAATTTATTTGCACAGAGTTGCACAAAAGTCTCACAATTGACTTCTCGAATTGTTAATGTTTAAATTTCAATGTATTACAACCACCCAAGCCATCGCGTTATTATGTGCATGAATGTATGTGTAGCTTATACAATGTTTGTGAGTGCAATATACACGCATATACAGGACAGTTATATGTTTATAAAGGTTTTTCCATAATTTCAACCAGATACCCTATAACTATTGGCATATTCACAAGATAATTGTGAAAAATCGTAAGCATGCATTAATATTCCATTGCAGGTGTTAAGTGAAATATGAACATGTAAACCATTACCATTGAGATAGAATATGGAGATTCTCAAAGATCAAATTCATCAAAATTTGAAAGGAAAAAAAAAAAAAAGAATTAAGGCTAGAAAAGGGTAAAAAGAAGTTGGTTTCAAAAATGGGGATGGACCTACCAAAACTGCCATTGGTACCCGATAGGCTGTTTTCTTGTATTCCCTGATCACCTGAGCAATTTGTGAGTGTGTCCTCCTTAAATAACATACAGAAAACCATAAATTAATAAAGTGCAAGCAACATAAGGCATCTAATTATCCATTTATCAAAAAATAATATTAATAATAAGGCCTATATAGGGACAACAATTTCCAGTATCTTATTCATCTGAATTCATCCTTGCTCACTATATATCTTTACTTGAATGTTGAAAAGAAGCGTTTGTGACAGTGGTTTTAATTCTTCAATGCAATCATGTTAAGATACTGAAAAGCTGAAAATATACGAGCATAACGTTACATGTGATTGTGCCAAATGAATCAATTAATTCTTAAATACTTCCAACATGTTAGACAAACTTGTACAAAAAAATAAAAATAAATAAAAAGGATACAATTTAAGAGAACTCATTTGCTTAAATGTAATTATGAAATTCAAAGATTATGCTGTTAAAAACAGCTAAGTACAATACTACAATTTGATATCAACAATGTTTATGTGATATGATGATGTCTGCAGCGAACCTCTTAAAACATTTCCCAGCATGTAAGGTTCCGGACTTCTAGTTTCCATATTTTTCCAGAAGAGATGATCATAGCAAAGCCAGAATAATAAAACTTACGATGCATACAAAATGGTAGGTATCATCTTTTTCTTCTGATTCTTGCCGTTTGACTTTGATGGAGCTGGCTCTTGAGTTCCTGAAGCTGAAACACCCAAACCCAAAGAAAATCCTTGTTAAATATAAATAATCTGACCAATTGATATGGCAACAGGTTAAGAGCTTTCGTATTACCCTTTTCTTTTCCTTCTTTTTTGTTTTCTATGCTCCTCCAAGTTTAAAATTTCAATAATGAATGAAAAACATCCCTTGAAATGGCAATCCCACAAAATATAATAACTGGCGGTGGGTCAACTGTCACAGAACTCACCATACCAAACAAAAAACATAAACCCAAAATATATGGAAACTCAGTGTTGCATCAGACATTTTATAAAGAACAATTCTTTTCCGGAAAAAAAAGTGAAATTCGTACAACTATCAACTTATTAAGAATCGATGTGGTGTATAGCCAAATCAACATATAACAAATTAGCAACAGAAGAGAAGAACAGAAACATGAAAGAGAATAAATGGAAGAACAATCTCTAATGTTGAAGTTCGGGTTTGGGAAAACTGCATGACAATTGGTATTCAAAAGAAATAATATATCTTTTCTCATGAGTATTTTATTGGTAATCAATCAATGAAACCTAGAGAAATCAAAATGGACACCTACCTAAAGACTCTGTCTCAGGAACAAAACCGCCCCCATAAGCAAGAGGATCGGTGAAGGCCTCAGGAGCAGGCTTTGAGTGAGAAAGATTGTTGGAGCGTTTGTGGTTCTGTTGCCAAGCGAGCGCAGAGCAAAGGAGAGAGAGTGATTTTCCGGTACCGGTGGGAGATTCGAGCAACGCGTGACAGTGACCGTCTCTCTGTGCTCGATCCAGTGTTGAGATGACTCTACCCATGAATGCGAGCTGAGATCCGTACGGTTGGTATGGAAATTCAACTGGGATTCCTCCGATGTGATGCACGTTTTTGGGATTTCTAGGGTTTGGGTTACTCAGCTTTTTGGTTGCCGAATCCATGGAATGAGTCCCCATGGTGTTATTTTGAGAAGTACAACTATTCTACCACTACTAGTATCTTCTAGCGGAGTATGTCTTCTGATTTTGAAGATTTTACCAATTGCGGTCGGTGACATTTTGGCGGGATGCTTTGTACTTCTTAATCATGTAAGATGTAGATTTCTTTGTACCAAAATAATATATATATATATATATATATATAAGTAGGTTTTAAAAGCATACTAAAGATGTGATCACGCAGATCAGATGCACCACTTACTGTGCCTCGTAACTTCTTAAAGTATTAAGCACGTATGAAACATTGTCTTCTCTAGATGCCTAAGAGCATCTTGAATGTTAAAATGTTAAATTCGAATGTCAAATCTATATTTTGACAGTGTTAGTGTCATAATTCTATATTTTAGGAATTTTGCTCTAATGATGCATTTTATGCAAAATGCTATTTTTTTTTACACAACTACTATTTTTTTTCAATTACTATTCGCACCATTCATATTTACATCATTAATGTTAATATTAGACACATTCCAAGTCAAGTTGTAGACATTAGAAGGAAATTAAAATTAAACTTAATTAAAAATAATCAAAAATCTAAAATATCTAGTCAAAAAATGACCCAAATATATATATATATGTGTGTGTGTGTATAAATTTATATATTTGATTATATTATTATATAAAAAAAATTTATATAATTTTTTTTCTTTTTTTGGAAATTTATATATATTATATATATATATATATGATTATATTATTATTAAAAATATATATATATTTAGGACAAATCATTTCAGCCTCCCAAATCGTCATATATAGTTTTAGGGCAAATCATTCAGCCTCCCCAATCGCTTCCATCTCTATTCTCTTTCTCAACTCTGAAATTGCCCCGTCTCTCTCTCTCTGTGCAACTGCAAACCACAAAATCAGCAAGAATCAGAAGTTCAAAACCCATATCTTTCAGTTTCCATCGCCCGCCGTTCTAGTTCAGGTTCGTCGTTCGCAAGCTTCAGCCACTGTCCCTCAACTCTCAAGCTTGCCCCCTCTCTCTCTCTCTAACTGCTAACTTGTACGTATGGATTTTGTTTTAATTTTTTCTCTAAATCAACTAATCAAGGTCTGTAATTCTTGTTTTGCAAACTAAATCTTATTTGGTGAAATTTTTTATGATCTATTTTAAATATATGATACAATATATATATATATATATATATATATATATATATATATATATATCTGAACCCATATCGGCATATCATTTTAGATTGTTAAAAAAATCAAAACCCATATCTTTCGGTTTCCATTGCCCCCCCCCCCCCCCCCCCGCGCCCCCCCCTCTCTCTCTCTCTCTCTCAAAACCGAGGAAATTGTCGAAATTGGAAGCTTTTGCTCTGAAAATGGACGAAAGAAGAGAGCAATTGAGGACGAAGAAGTAGAAGTGAGAGAAGAAGAAAAGGTGGAGAAGCAGAGGGCACTGGTTTCTACCATTGAAGAGAGAGATTTTGGCAGAGCGAGAGAGAGAGAGAGACGACAGGCAACAAAAAAGGCAAATAGCTATTGCTATTTGTTTTGTTAGATTTGGCACCAAAAATAGCAATGGCAAATTTTGATAGGTGATATAGCAGGCCATTGGAAGGGACAATTTTAACTCCCCTGCTATATTTTGCATTGGCAGCCCATATAGCAGGTGGGTTGGAGATGCTCTAATATGATCAAGTAACTTATGAACTTAAGACTGGATTCTAAAAACATTATATGTATGTTTAGATAAGCTATAAAATAATTCCTCACTAATCTTAAGGTCATTACCTGAATCTTAGTTAAGTGATTGATTATGTTGATTTCACTATTATGCTCATTATGTCTAATATGTCTCTATAGAACATCTCTGTTGGTCCCACCTTTGAATTAGGGTTTACCCTTTTAAATGTCAAAAGGTTCTCTACATTGAGTTCCAAGTGATTCTGGCTTGAACAGTGCATACAAATGATCTACAGGGGTAGCTTGGTCATTTTACAATGTTAAGAATATAATTCAAATGATCTAAGGAAGGTACATTATCTTGAAGACTATATCTACAAGCCTCTTATGGTTAAAAACCCTAGTACAGATAGTGATCTTTTGCTACAAAGTATTTCAGGGGTAATTAAGTCTTTTCACATATGTATTATATCATATTACATTTGTGTATGATGGTACATTGTGTTGAATTGCTTATATTCACATGTTGATAAAGTGATCACAGTCTATTGCAACACAAGGGCATTTTGGTCAATGCAAAATGCTGAGAATCATTGCGACACATGTCTTGCGGTCCTGGTATGTGAATATGCAGGCTTTCATTCTTTGCTTAGTGATTAAACTTGCGATACATTCATATACGTATACATTCACAATGCTGTCAATGAGCATGCATATTGAAGATATTTTTTGTAAAGGTGGCAAGGGTATAATGGTACATTCATAAGGGAATTATAGATTATTTCGTGGCCAGTGATTGGATGATGGTGACACATATATTTCCTCTTTGAGATAGGATTTGTATTCATGATGTACTATATATATGTTGTTATAGAAATTATAGGGTTTAAGCCTTTGATAGAACCCTAAAAAGCAAGCTGCAATGAGAGCTGAATATGAAAACACATTTCTGAGATTATTTGTAATAATCAAAGCTTGATTTAAGCTCAGGAATACATTAAAGGAATCCAAAAAAGTTGTAGATCAAATGGAGGCCTGTTGTTGTGATTTTTACTGGTGTAGAAGTTGTGTTAGAGGTCTAAGTTTGGTTTGAGCTTGCTGTGGTACTGAGATAAGGTTGAGGTAAGTGTAACTTGACATTTTACATCTACAAGAAGTATGTTTGTGACCATCTTTTAGCTGCATTTGATTTTGATATCTTAGACCTATTTATTATCTTGTTAATCTGAACTTATTATCATTATATTTTGTTATGAGTTGCATTATTATCATCTGATCAAGTTTCTATAGTTGAATCAAGGCTGTTGAAGTTGAGGTTTGCATAAAATTAAGGTTAATACAGTTTTTGACCTGTGAAACCCTAGTTTTGAAGGTTTTGCAGACCTGTAATTGAGTTGTAATTGTGTATACATTCTATATTCATCATGATTACCATCTGAGCATGTCTATAATGAAGATACAAGGCTGTGGATTCCATCTCTGAGTTTATGGGACACGAAATTCCTATTTTTCCCCTCAAACCCTAGTTTCAGTATAATGAAGATAGGGTGCTTGTATTGATACTTTGAGTTGATTATTCACTCTTATCTTGTGTAATAGCTTGAATATTATTGTAATACATCTTTTTATATGTATTTGGTAAGCTGTGAGAGCTTGCAGGGTCCAAGTAGGGTTGCTTAGGATAGAGGGAGTGCAGAGTGCACTTAGTGGTGCTAGTGTGTGTGTAGAGGCTATGAAAGCTGGTGTTTCATCTTGTACAAGGGTGTGTGTAGAGAGTGAGACTGAGTGTGTAACTACTTGCATACAACTATTAGAGATTTTATTGGCTGAGGCCAAGAACCAATGTTTTTTCCCATTGAGAAGGTTTTCTTGTAAATGCACTGAGTACTTGTGAATATGTGTGAGATTATTGTTTCAGCCTTTATTCTCATCACATTGTATTGATCACACAAAGAAGAAAACTTTATACAAGAACCAATTCACCCCCCTCTTGGTTCATCAATTGGTATTAGAGTTTTGGTCTGCCTTTTTGAGGTTTTAATCAACCTGTAGAAGATCTTGTGCAATGGAAGAAGGTCAAGTTACAAACAAAGCACCTGGTTTTGACGGGTCCAATTGTGATTCATGGAAAACAAGGATGGAAGCCTTTCTCATGTCTCAGTCCTATGATGTTTGGCATGCTACCATCTTTGGTTTTGTGGTTCTCAATCCAAACAATCCCTCATCAGATGATAAAATTGCTTTAGCAAATGATAGAAGAGTAAGGCATGATCTATTCTGTGCTTTTAAGCAACAAGAGTTCATAAGGATTAAGAATTCCAAGACAACTAAAGAAATGTGGTATTATTTCAAGGCTGATCATGAAGGGAATAATGCTTCAAGGAGAACAAGATACAACTTCTCAAAGCTCAATATGAAGGTTGTAAGATGGAAGAAAGGGAAGTTATTTCAGAGTACTTATTCAGGATCAATGAAACTGTAAATAACATGAAAGCTCTTGGTGAAGAGATAAAGACTCTGAAGTGTGCAAGAATATCTTAAGGACCTTAACTTCAAGGTTCAATGTTAAGGTCACTATTCTTAAAGACAAAGACCTATCTCGAATGAAGATTGATGATCTTCAAGCTTCACCCACAGCATATGAAATGAGAACTGGTGCTCCCACACAACACAGAAGAGAAGTAACTCTTAAGGCCAAAGAAGTGATTGAGGATGTTGAACCTAAGTCCGAAGATGCTGATCTTGAAGAAGATGAAGTTGCTTACCTTGCCAAAAAGTTCAAAATATTTAGAGTAAAAAAGAAGTCTCGGTCACAACAAACCTGTTATGGTTGTAGCAAGTCAGGCCACTATATGGCTAATTGTACTAATTCAAAAGATCAACCTTATAAGAAAACTGAGAACTTCAACAGCAGAGGTAGATTTAGAAAGAAAGCTCTTGGTTCAAATTGGGATACAAGCCCTGAAGAAGAGAAACCAGATGAAAGCCAAGGAGATGAGTGCATATTCATGACATTACTTGAAAACCCTAACTCACAGATTGAAGAAGATAAGGATAGTGACATTAAAGTAGAAGAAATCCTGGAAGAGTACGAGAGATTGGCTATGAAATGTGATCTACAGAAGGTCCAAATCAAATGACTCAGCTCAGAGTTACACAAGTCCAAGGGTTTACTCATTAAATAGATAAGGTTGAGGTTGTCAACTCTGTGCTCCATCCTCCTTAACTGTATCTTGTGTATAGAAGTTTTAATCCAACCAAAATGTGCGGACTACCAAAAGATGTAAGGAAGAACTCTCATAGGCTTCGGAGGAAAGATCATCGAAGATAACTAAGATTTGGAAAAACTCTACAAAACAAATTGGAAAAATAGCCATTGGTTATTATGTGACACTACAGCTAAGGCTAAATAGACTCACTCAGTGTTTC